TGCCACATGGACGGTACTTCACAGTATATCAAATAAAGATCATGCACTTTGATGTTTTAGTTTTCCTGTTTTTGATAATACATTAAGGTCTTCAGTGGTTTAGCTAATGCATGTCCGGTCTTGTCAGCTGTTTTATTGGTATACCTGGGCATATTGCCATAAACTTGGCCATAAACAGAACTGTAAAAATAAAAGGGTTGACTGCTATTGTAACTTCTGACCTCTAGGGTGCACACTTGTCCCTCTAGACTGCCAGTAAACTAAATATGACAGTAAGTCATTTATCAGAGATGGAAGAAGTATTCAGATCCTCGACTTAAAACTAAAAAGCAATGTCAAAATACTCCTAATACTAAGTTAAAGTCCTGCAATCAAATATTACTTAAGTAAAAGTACAGATGTTTTATCAGCAAAATGTACTTTGAGGTTTCAGAAGTAAGTACTCATTGAGCAGAATCACCCCGTTCAGTATGTGTCATATATTATAATATTGGATTATTATTACTGATGCATCAGTGTGTAAACAGCATTTTACTCATCTTGCTTATTTTAAGTTTTACATTCTGTTTGGAAGTTTAATCTATTAAAACATTTCATATTTAATGAGATGATAATATGTTTTTATAACTGTCAGATAGTGAGATAGTGAAATGGAAATACTCGTGTAAAGAACTCAAGTACCTCAAAACTGTACTTAAAGGTCCAATGTGTAACATTTAGGAGGATCTATTGGCAAAAATGGAATATAATGTTCATAACAATGTTTTAATTAGTGTATAATCACCTCAATAGAGGAATCGTTGTGTTTTTTTTTACCTTAGCCTGAGCCAGTTTTATCTACAGGAGCAGGTCCTCTTCTACAGAGTCCACCATGTTAAACCATCATGTTTCTACCCAGAACGGACAAACCAAACCTTTTGTGTTTTTTGCAGGTTTTGCTGCCATCGTAGTTTCTCCTACACACTTGGAAGGCCGAGTGGTATACAGTTACTTGCAATCTGTAACTTCACCACTAGATGCCACTAAATCCTGGTACTGTGCAGCACTTGATGCAGTTAAGTTACATTCCACCACTAGTTTATATCCTATTTTTACTCAACTTATTAGTACAGTAAATAATATTTAGAAATAACTAAAAATGCTTCAAAAGATGCTCCATGTCTGTGTTTAGACACATTCATGTCTGGTACAAATGAATGGTATGACATGAATTACTTTAAAAATAAGATGCTAAATTACCTTAAATCATTTTAAAGACCATGTCCTTAAGGGCTATTTTTAAAAATAAAACTTCAAATACAAAAATATATATCAAAGCCCCCACATAAGAACACATAATACACACAAGTGTTTTGTTTTATCTTCAGAAATAGCCTATTTCTTTTTTTACAAATATGTGTCTGTTGACTAACTGCATCCAATATCAATCGACCGTATGATCTCACGGAGGAAGCCTGTGTGGAGGATAAGCACTACTTCTGGATGTTCTGAAATGAAGCTAGGGGGAATAATTACAGCTGATGATTACAGGAAGCCTGCCCACAGGTTTCATGTTTATTGTACAACACTTTAACACTTTTCACAAAGAAAAGGAAAAAACAATCTTGTTTTGGACCAGTGATTAATTACTTTATATAAGCTTGTTTGTGTTCAAGTGTCACACAGGGGTCACTCGTTTTATGGATACTCTAACTTCCATTTAATCTCAGGTTATGTGAGCAATGAACACTTTTAGCAGCAATTTAATTAACTTACGTAACACTATAAAAATAACTCTCTACTCTACCTCTAACTTGTTTAGTGGATTTAAATCCTGATTACCTTTTGATTTTTTGAAGGTCTTTAGATGTGATGAGTTATTAAAGTCTTCTATGACTCTTCTCTATGTGGGAACTGCTTCACTTTAGTTCTGCAAACTTCTCAGGAGCAGGTCAGGTTATATGAGGCATCGAACATTTACCTGATCCCTTTAGTGTAATCCCATTGACTGTTCATGTAGTTGCAATGGATCTTAAGCGCCTGTGGTGGTGTTAATTGTTTTGTTGTTCCTCAGAAGAGAATGAAGAGCTTTGTTTTACATCACTTTAATGACATAATAGAAGCTGGAGTCTTGGATAATCCCACTGGCAGGGCTTAAAAAGTTCAAACTGGTCCTGTTGTCTCTCCTGTAAGCTTGTTGGTGATGTAAGGTAACATGAGTCAGGCCTGGTGTCCGTGCGCTCTATAGACACGACATTGAAGAAGCCTTCAGTAGAAGTATCAGTACTGTAGTGTAAAAATACTCCATTACAAGCAGCAGTCTTATAGGCATATCTGTCTATATGTGAGTCCCAACAACCTTATTTTCTTCTAACAAGTGAAGTAAGAATACAGTATATACCTGTACTCAATACAAGGTAATTTAATTGGGTTGTACGATGAAATTCAGCTTGTAGTTCCCTTTATGCTACTTGTAATACAAAATATATAAACAAAACTTATTTACAGTAAAATTGATTATTAAGTCATAAAAAATCTTTCCAGATGGCAGCAGGTTGATCAGGCTGTGGCTGGTGTGGATGCTGTCTTTTAGTGTCCTTTGGCCTCTGTGCAGGCCCCTCACCTCACTAATATCACTGATGCTGGGTACTAAGTACCAATGATCAGTTTTAACGACTTGGTGCAGGGCTGTGCTAATCCCACACCTGTTTGTGATGTTTCCAGTCAGGATGCTTTCTAGCACTCCTCTGTAAAGGTTCCTTAAGAACTTCCATCATTTCTGTGCTTTCCTAACCAGGGTGGAGATGACCATGACAGGTTCTCTGAGATGTTGAACCTGAAATCTGGGGGGGGGCTCCTTTCTTCTAAAATCAACAATCATAATCCAACTGCTGTTTTTTTCTGAAATTGAGCAGTAGTGTATGTATCTAATATGATAAATAACACCTGGAACAATTAATTTACATTGAAAATATGTTGGAATATTCCTACAGCTCTTGCATGTTTTTTCTTTTATTCATTAAAATAAAATAAAATAAAATAAGGCTTTAAGGATGAAATTGTTGGCTAAAATGATTTTTTATACAACTTTTCTAAATCATTTTAGAAGCTCATTCTATTTTTCTATGTAAAATCCTGGTAGCTTATTAGCTGTCAGACAGATGAAGTGTACTAAAATGTGCAATATTTCACTCTGAAATGATTTTGGAATAACTTGCATGATAGCACAGATTATAAAAACAATTCTCTGAGCAGCTATTTGCTGGTGTTTGTATTTGTCCTTCAGTGCTGCTCAAACGCTCTCTAATTGGAGCCTGTAATAACTGTGACATGTTGACCGAGCTGCTTTTTGTACAGTTTAACATCCATCATCAAACCTGACACTCTCATTATAGAAGCTTCTGTTTCCTGAAGGCCAGATGCCTTCTCTCCTGATTAGAAAAGACTTCCAACTCATTTTGGTTCTAAAACAAAAAGAAAACACCTGACATGGAAGATGACCATAACACCCTCTTGAACCAGTATCCTTGACAACACGATGATCCGGTCCAGCTATTGATATTCTGTCTTTCTATTTGCAGCACATACCTAAAATTCAGGTGGGCTGCACTGTGATGGTATGAGACACACTGCAGCCTTTGATGGCCAATAAAACCATAATAACCATTTTATTTATCTTACAGATGAGCCTGCGTTGCTGTAGCTGTGCCTTTTGATTAGAAATATAGAATTTATTTTGCTTGGCACAAGCACACTTGTTTCATGCCATTGTTCTTTGTGTGCAGTAAACACATGGAGGTTGTGTTATCAACGTGCCCTGCAGACTGTATGGCTCCTCATGTGGCAGGTGAAATGAGCAACGGCTTCAGATTAATACATAAGCCTATTAAAGGTTGCCTCTGAACACCACAGTGTATACTGCGAAATACTTAGAGTCTCATGCTGCATCAATCACAGGCGGTGGCCAGTGCAGGTGTAAAATGTGATCACTTTCTACTGTTTCTAATGAGGCATGCTCTTAATAGGAATGTCATTTGGGTTGCCAGGTTATGAAAAATCTCTCTGGTATTTGTCCTCCTCTAGCACAAATTTTTAAATTTGCTTGTTTGCGTAAATATTCACCACCTTGACGACTTAAAATCACATAGAAGTGAAACTCAGACTGCATTTTTCTGCCAGAGGTGCATCCACCAAATGATGGATGATGGAGCAGACAGATGTATGCGCAGAGTTCTGCTGAAAATGTGGCCCTATGAGCATGATTGGTGACAAATAGTTTGTCAGTCCATCCTTGTGCAGTATGCAAATATACATAAGTGTGCTGTAGAAAGTGGAAGCCACCAGTGCACACACACTGAGGATGGACTTCACATTGAAGTAGGAAAACTTTTGAAATTAAGGACAACATTTGAATATTCATAGATTCTGGAATTTTTAATGAAGTCGAAGGAGTAGATGAATTTTAAAGGATGTTAATGTGGATATTATATATATAAAAAACAAAACATTATCTTCCACTGTTTGCAGACATGTCTTAATACATGTCTCAAAGGGATCTTTAATAAGTCATTTAGATTTTTTTTTTTTTACCTGGAAAGCCGCATTAAATCTTCTTTGATTCAGTGTTGTGAGGCAATAAAACATGAACATTTCCAAGGAGGATTTCATAGGCACTTTAACTATTAATCTACCTATTAGTTATAATCTATAAAGCCTCGATAAAGGGCCCCTTATTAGAAACTGCTACCCTGCTGTCAAATCAATATTCACTGATGTTATCTGGAAATCACCACTGACCTGCTTTTCAAAATGGTAGTCCACTTCTATCAGTGCTGAGGCGTGCGTGTGCGCGTACTTGCGCATGCGCGTGCACATGTTGCGAACTGTTTTCAATGAATCGTGCAGTTTGGGGAAAAAGCAGCTCATTTCTGCGCTTCTCCCCCCCCGTATAAACCTGTAGCTGTGCGGAAAAATGAATGATGCTGCAGATAAAGCAGCAGAAGGCTGACCTGGAGTCTGCGCCTTAAGCCTCTAATGAGCACCTGTGAGACTGTCAGCCCCTCCCCTCGACTCTCTCCATGGATGTTATCTCTGACTTGACAACAGGTACTTGTAAAGTCCCAGACACAGTAATCTGTCCAGACCTCGGCGAGCAGTTGGCAGGAGAGTCAGAGCAGAGCTCCTCCAGCACTGAGTCTCAAGGTAAGTCTCAGCCACTCTGTTGGTGAATGAACCTCCTCTTTGTGAAGTGAATTACTGGGATCTGGGTATCTCAAAGCACTGTTGTTTCATTTGTAGACCTGCAGTTTGGGGACTGTTTTTTTAGGTTTTTTGTTTTTGTTTTTGTTTTTGTTTTTCCAGCCAGGACTCAGGTAGAGGGCCGGTGTAGACTGATCAGTATTCTGTGCGTAATGTGGCCAGTTTTGAGCGCCGCTGCCTTTATTCAGCACGATGACTCATTTCACGAGTTGTTTGGAACTGGCAGCGTCGTTGCTCATCCGTCAGCTCTGTGTGGTTCAAGCTTGATCGGAATATCTGATCATTCGCCCCTTTTTGCCGCAGAGAGATCTTTCTGACGCGGATGCCGCAGCCAACTTGGTGGCATAAAGAAGGTGGGGGGGGGCTGCACGACCCCGAGCGCAACCGCCGCCAGTTATTATCAGACCGACCCGTCTCTCCGCTTTGTGCCACGTTTGTCAGGTTTTTTTTTAATTATCTTTGCATTGATTTGCGTCACGGAAAACGCCACGCGTGTCTGGACTGCAGATAAGAGAGAAGAGCAGCATTGAAATGCTGATCACTGCTGCAGGTTCTGACTGTGCACATTACTTTTGCATTGCTGTTTGTGGTTTGTGGACGCATTCTCCAGCCCCCAGTGGGGTTTCTGTGCAGGAGAGTCTGATCTTCTGTTGGGTCGCATGCATGTTCAGTGTGCTGCTAAATAACAACACAATGCAGGGATGAAAGAAAGAATTACTGCAAGGGAATCCAGAGTGAACAACAGGGAATACAATGTGCAAGACCCTCAGAGCTCCTCAGTGTGTGAATAGATGTTATTTGAATTAATGTGGGGGTATTCAGATGTTCAACAGGTGCATTGTTTGCGGTAGTTAAGACATTTATTCTGCATTTTAAATCACTTGTTCGAGGCTGTTCTTTGGTATTTTTACCCCCTGAAGAGGTCAGGTCTCCAGATCAAGAGTTGCTTATCCCTTATATAAGAGAAAAGAGGGCAGGAAACCAAACTGGGTGACCTGCTCATTGAAAGTGTAATCCTTCTTAGTACCTTCAGTTTTATTGGATAAACCATTCTTCCCAATTCTCTAATCCTTATAGATTATTTATCCTTATAGATTATTTATTTTTAACTTAATATGATCAGAGTTGTGCTTTTTTAAAAATAATTTGCCAACAACTTCTATAATTGTTTAATTACTTAATTTTTGAAGTTTACATTTTCTGTCAAATGCAGAAAAAAAGTCAAGGCAACATATTCCTCTTAACTTTCTTCTGGTTTGGCAGATTATTGATCAGCTTTATGCATTCACTGCGGTATCATACAGTATCACCTGGCCCTGATACAGGATGGGTCGGCCCTGGCAGTGCTTCCTGTGTGCTAGTTACAGCACGGATTAGTGCCCTAACCTTTGTCTGCCAGACAAAGACTCATGTCTGTCTCATCTGCTCATCCCCTCACGCAGACAGTCTGAGCAGCGGTGGAGACATGTCAACCTTCATACCTGCTTTTTCATGACTGCTCAATAATCCCAAAGGATTAAATCGTTATGATTATGATGATGAGGGAGTCTGGACATTAAGGCAGCGCACTGTGGAACTTTGGTGTTGACATCTATTCTTAAGTTTTTTTCTTTCTCCTTACTTCTGAAAGAAATCCCTGTTGAAGCAACTGCAGACATGGGTCGTCAAGAGGCCGACTATGTGTGGAAGAAGAACACTGAAAACATCCAGGAGGTTTTCGACATCATGGAGGAGTTGGGATCGTAAGTATATTCTTCTCAATAAGATAGCACAATTTATTAACATGCAAAGCACAGAGTGAAGTCAAGACCATTTTATTCATACAGCCCAATATCAGAAATGTATCTCAAGGGGCTTTACAGTCTGTACAGCGAGATAAAACTCCCCCCAAAAAACCTTTAATGGGAAAAATGTAAGAGACTTCAGGAAGAGCAACAGCGAACAGGGTCCTTCTCCCGGAACATGTAATTCATTAATTCAAGAAATCTTAATATTTACTGAGCAAACAAGTGTTAATTTGTAGAATCTCTTAGTCCCCCCTGGGAATATTTTGCATTTCTGAGTGTTTTGTTTTAGAGCAACTACAGTAAAACTTAAGTCTTGACTTGCCATGGACGTGGAGTGATTACAGACCCTCAACATGCTGTTTGAGTTGGAGGAGAGATTACTGGTTTGATTGGATTGACACGAGGAGGCCTACTTTACGGAGGTCTTAGACAACAAGATGCTCAGGGCTGTTGGAGGGTTAGGACTGTCCTGATGGTGTCTAGCTGTGGGGTCAGCTTAGCCATTCATTCACAAAAAAAACTAAGAATATGTCTGGAACTTTAAATTATTCTCTCTAAAGTCTCATTGAATTGTGTTACTGTACTCACAAAAAAGAGAAAAAAATATATAAAGAGTTGATTTTTAAGCACAAATGCCAAATATTCTCTGGTTCCAGCCTCGGTAATGAAGATTTGCTGCTTCTCTTTGTCTAATGTGATAATAAACTGAATGTCTTTGAGTTTTTTCTACCGTTGGTCGCACCAAATAAGACATTTAATAACATCACTTTTGGCTTTAGGAAGTCGTGATGCCCATTTTTCACTATTTTCTGACGTTTTATAGACGATAAATCAAGAAAATAAACAAACTTTCAGTGATGAAAATATGAGTTAGGTGCAGCCCTAAAAGCAACGTCAAGGTCAGCAGGTTCATCTCAAAGTTCACCTGCAGTCATTTTGAATGAAGATAATGTTACTGTATACTGTACACACACACACCCAGTTAACAGCCTCTTGTGCTGGCCTAATTTCTGTGAGGTCAGCATTAATAATCAGCAGGTCTTCTAGCACACTCGAGCGTTTAGCGAGGGGCTGGAGAGAGGCAGATCAGAGGCCAACAATAAATAAAGGCGCGAGTGCTGCCGGAATGACGTCAGTGTGTTGCTAGAAAACAGAACTGATCTGTGCTGGGGGCTGAGGAGGCTGCTGAGAGGTTTTAGCTGAACACAACAGCGGTGATTGGACTGTGAAGGAGGCGAGGCCCTGCTGAGTACAGGAGATGATCTAATATGTGGTCCAATTAGTTTGAAGCAATTACTTTTATTTCCCCAAACCCTTTGAAAATCCTTGTGATAACTTTATTTCCGTGACGCCTCATCTAAAGTATTAAAAAACTATTTCAAGACATAATGATGATGTACAGTTTGAAAAAGAATTAAAGACAAGGAACCAAAAGAGAGACTCTGAGCCGCTGAGGGAATTTGCTGGACTGCCTTTCATTTCTGCTGAGGGTGTCAACAGAGTGAATGCTCTCAGCTGTTTTGGCCATTCCTCGGGTATATGGTTTAGTGTTTTTTTTCTTTCTTCATGTTTCCATTACAATAAAAAGGAGAGGAAGGAGAATCCAGGAGGGACAGGAGACTGTGTATAACACCAAACACAGCCTTTCCCCATCAGGCCTCATCACACATAGTGTAAACATCGAAGCGGTTTCCCGGCAATCAGAACGCAGTCTCTTCAGGGGTAAATGTAACTCCCAGAATGACCCAAAAAGCACACAGAACATTGATTCTAGTGTGCATTTTTGAATTTCAAGCGACACACTGAAGTTCTGTGATTTCGGATTGCCCTCTGTCTTTTCGTGATAAAGGATGCGGTCTGGCACTCATGTTTAGAGCTTGATTGATGATTTCTCTTGAGATTCACAATAAGCTTCAAGGAGTTCCGAGAAAGAAAATGAGCTCTGGTAACCAAGGAGAAATCAGCTGAGCAATAGGATGTGAAGTGCTGTGATGGTGCTATGGGGCCAGCTTGTTCCTGTCTGCTTCCCTGAGCCGCAATTAGGCAGTGTGTATGAGTGTGTGTTGGACAGACATTACCCAAATGGGACAGAATACACATGCAACATAGGAAATGAAACTAAAGACAGCTATGATTCACATTGTTAAATAAATACTATTAAAGGTACTCAGGTCCTCCAGCAGGCTGGCGTGTTAATCTTCATTAAAGTACATTCCTTCAGGGTCAGCACCTTATGGACAGAAGACGGGGTTGTGGTATCCCATGTCTGCCCACAGCCCTTGACACCTGTCTGTGACCTGGCCTGTACTGTATGTAGGATCTTGTTGTTGTTAAGGATCCCTGCCACACATGCTCAGTTTCTGACCTCTGCACCGGTTTTATTGCGTCAGGGATAAAGGGCCTAATCCCCCAGGTAGAACAACTATTCCCAGACAGCGCTGAAGATAGCGTGGACACAGAGCACCGCACAGTCCAATAATAAGCCTCTAGCATGTGAATAGTTAAGCCACAGGGATCTTTAGTAGAACTTAATTGAACCCCTTGATATTGCTATTTCTGATCCGACTATAAAATCCCCTCTAATTACACATAGGTACAAAACAGTAAACATCCTGAAATGTACCTTTATAAGTGGGTTAAATGTTGCTAGCTCGGTTTTTTGTCTGAAGATAACAAAATCCACCCTCCAGATCCTCTAAAGCTCATTGTTAATGTGTTATATCTCTGCATTTAATCTGTACAAAAAAGTGTTCAAATCATAATTTGTGGGTTCACAGGGGTCAGAAATAATCCTGCATTGTTTTGTATGGATCCAGGCTGGCTGTTTCTCCATGTTTCCATCTCCTGTTGCACGGATAGATATGAGAGTGGTATCGACCTTTTTCGTCTAACTGTTGCCAAGAAGGGGGAATAAGTGTATTACCTAGAATGTCAAATGGATTGTGCAACATTTACCCAGACAGACAAATGGGACTCACACCAGTCTCTAAATTATAAAGAATTTCATGTATCTGAAGCCTTGCAAATAAATGATCTCTTTTAACAAAAAAAAAAAAACAGCAGTTATTCGAATCTGGCACGATAACAAAATAGAGAAATGGAAGCAAACGAAAACTCTCTCTGACTGGCTGAGAAAAATGGAAAGTAGACTCAGCAAGAGGCTAACGCTCTGTGCTGTTAAGGGCCCCATATTTTATTAACAATTAATAAGAAGGAAGACTTATTTCCTCTGACTGGAGGTTACTCTGTATCTCTTTCTGTTATGTTTCAAAGCAATCAGTGACTCCATCATTAATAACTCATTTTGTGTGTCATGTGTTTGTGTCTTAATTAACAGGGGGGCGTTCTCAGAGGTGTACATGGTGAAGGAGAAGAAGACGGGAAAGATGTTTGCCATGAAGTGTGTGAAGAAGAAACAGAAAAGAGACCTCAATCTGGAGAATGAGATTGCTGTGTTGAGAAGGTGAATTTTAATGAGCCTTCATCTTTCATTTCATATTCTCTCAGTAGTCAGTGTGGGAAGGAATCACATTGATCAGCTCTCTCTTTTGGCTGCTGTATATGTTGAGAATGTGTGATTTCTGTTGTGGGATTACGACAGCAATGTCATAATGAAAGCTTGTTATTTTAACAGAATCAAACACGAGAACGTCGTAGGGTTGGAGGATTTCTATGAAAGTCATACCCATTACTATCTTATCATGCAGCTGTGAGTTTCTCCACCTTTATATTATTATTCAAATTAGCATGATAGCTAATTAAATTGGGTTTTAAGGTCAAATTTTGATGGTAGTTCTTATCTCCTCCCCAGTGTTTCAGGCGGTGAGCTCTTTGACCGTATACTGGACCGGGGGGTGTACTCAGAGAAGGATGCCAGCAGTGTGATCCAGCAGGTGTTGCAGGCCGTTAGCTATCTGCACCAAAACGGCATAGTGCATCGTGACCTCAAGGTATGTTTTATATTTAAATTTTTTAAAAAATATATGAGAAACACAATATTTTGGGAAAAAGTTGAACTATTCCTGTAAATAATGTCATTAATAAGATTAAATTTGTACTTAGATCAGTTTTGCCTGTAATGACATACATACATTCAGTGCTGCAGCTCCATTTCCAGCAGCGGTGCTTTTACAGAACGTGAAATATTCATATTCATATTCTTCAAGTGTTTGAACAGCTCTCCTGTCTTTGTCTCTGTGCAGCCAGAGAACATCCTGTACTACAGCCAGGAGGAACAGTCCAAGATCATGATCAGTGATTTCGGCCTCTCCAAGATGGTAGAAGATGACATCATGTCGACAGCTTGTGGCACCCCAGGATATGTAGGTAAGGAAACGCATCTGTCTAATGAATGATTTATGGACACTGACATCGAGTAAGGGGCTCGGACGGGATCGGAGAATATAAGACACACAGGTGTGTAACAGTAAGAAACAACACTGGCGGAGCTTTGACATTTTTTCCTCACTTTCAGCTCCTGAGGTTTTGGCACAGAAGCCGTACAGCAAGGCAGTGGACTGCTGGTCTATTGGAGTCATCACATACATCTTGTAAGTATAAAGTCACGGTAGCTCAGTTTTGCTTTATTAAGTGGCAGGATTTTCAGATTAAAAGCCACGGACATGTATGTTTAGTGTGACACAGTTACCTAAATACAGAATAATGATGCAGCCATTGAGCCATAGCACCACCTAGTGACCAATCCTTCATACACACTGTTACCTGCACACATTAGTACATAAACAGGCACTTTACTGTGGCACATTCTTTAGTTTCCCTTTCCTTCCAATGATGATAAATCTTTATGTTGCAGACTCTGTGGATATCCCCCTTTTTATGAAGAAAGTGAGTCAAGACTGTTCTCCAAGATCATGAAGGCGCAGTATGAGTTTGACTCCCCCTTCTGGGATGACATTTCTGAATCTGGTAAATATACTGAGCAGTAGTAGACATACTGTATATTCCCCCCATACAGAGCTCAGCCCTAATAAGTGCGTCATCTTTTCATCTGCAGCTAAGGATTTCATCCGTAACATGATGCAGAAGAATCCCAGCATGCGCTACACCACCGACCTAGCGCTCAGACATCCCTGGTGAGTGTCAATTATCAGCCTTGGATCACACATATTGGGTATGATGCACTAGTTAAACTCTTAAAATGTTCATTTAAACTCATTTTAGACTAGAAGTAAATAATTCCCTGCAGTGTAGTTGCATTTCTTGAGCAGAGTTAGACTGTTCCAGATTCATTTACTACTACAAACTTATACTCACATTCATGAAAGAAATGGGTGTGAAGCACAGGAGATGGAGTGAATCCACGCAGTGTTAGGTCACACAGATGGGTTCAGGATTAGCCTTTACCTTGAAATAAATATAAAGTGTTGTGTTCCATCCTCTGTTTTCCAGGATTATCGGAAAGACGGCCCGGAGTCAGGACATCTACTATTCTGTCAGTGTTCAGATCCAAAAGAACTTTGCCAAGACCAAATGGAAGGTCAGTCCAGATTTGTTGGCTTTGATGTGGTAAACTCATTAAGGACCTGCAGTCTGTATTAGATTAATCGGGTCTCTACTTAAATCCTTCCTGATTAAGGACAGTTTTAATAAGATATTGTTCTCCACTGACGGCGGATGTAGGGCTTTTACTGTCAGGAGAAACAAAGTGCACTTGATTGTCCAGCAGTAAATATGACTCTAAAACTTGAATCTATTGTCTGGACAATCTACTGAACACTCAGATTTGGTGTTTCAGTCTCTGTCTTCCATACATCATCACAAATGCAGTTGAAGTGGAGCTATATGGCTCTCAGATCTCTTTAACTTATCCCCCTTTGTGTTCACTTTACAGCAAGCCATTAACGCTGCCGTAGCCATCAACCACATGAAGAAGCTGCAGCTGGCTCACTCAGAGCTGGTTCTGAGGGAGGCCAGCATCCCAGACATCAAAGTGGTCGACATGTCCTCCCCAACGAAAAACCGCAAACGTCTTGATCCAGACAAACTGACCCCCACGCTGGCGGAGACGAATGGGAAATTAAACGGGACGAATCACATGTCCCTGCCCACAAGCCAGGCTGACCTGAAGAGCCACTACCACTCACTGAAGGTCACTCAGAGCCAGTGCAGCGCACACCATGCACCCACTATAGCTGAGCAGGGCAAGCATGTCTACCACTCAGAGCCTGCCAACCTGAACGGGTTTGTACAAACTTCATCTGATGTTGTGCATTTTGAATTTCTGATATGACAGCAGGACGGACGCATGATGACGCTTTTCTGTTTCTTTCTCTCAGATACGGTAAAAACCACAATAGCAAACCTGTGCAGACCGGAGTCTGCTCAGTCATGTGAAGGCTGCATGAAGTTTACGTGGATAAACGTATTTTACTTGGTAGGTTCAAGACATCATAATCAAACACACTGTAAAAACACAAGTAATAATTGTATTTGAATTACAAATTTAACACACAAGTGTACAAAAAAGAAAAGAAAATCCACATTTGAAGATTTGGTATATTAAAATAAATCACAACACACACTTTTTTAGCATTATAAGCATTATTAAGCATTTAATAAATGGTTTATAAGACAGTATATTGTAGTTACAAGCAGATGCAGACCCTTTAAATACATGCTGTTTGAAGATTTACTGTATGTCAATATATGTTTGCTCCATAAGGCAAATAATACAAAGAGCATAAACAAACCATCGAGATCTTGCTGTGAATGTTTTGTGTAATTTTCAGCTCATTACAGTCAAATGTGTGTGTGTCTCACCCTGAGTGTGTTTCTGCCCTCTGCAGGTCAGTGTAGCTGTGCTGACTCAGCATGCAGCTGTTTTGTGTCAGCAGGTCCCCCTGTGCTAAGATGAGAAGTGGTTAATCCTGTGACAGACCCAAGCGGTCTGCGAGGTCCACGCAGTCAGTGGGACATTTTATATTGGAAAGAGTGCCTACAAAGCTTCCCGACAACCACACAAACACAAACACTCAGATGCACAAGACTCACTTTAACGCAGATGCACAGGGTAGACTAACCGGGACAGTTCGTACAGTGTTCAAGGGATTGTGATGGGCTCACCTTCTGCTGGGCACCTGAATGCCCTGCTCCTTCGTGGTGAAGCAGTCCCTGACCTCTGAGGTCATGAAGGCTTTATATCACAGCTCCTGGTTTTTGATCAGGGAGAGTTTAATTCATCAGAGCACTTATTGTCCAGGTTTCATGTTGCTTAAGAATACACACAATGCAATAAGACTAAACATTATTGTACCTTCATGTGTAAAATAGAATGCTTTAGCCAACCTGCATTTGTAAGCACATTATATATGGAAAACCTGCATGCTTACTGCTTCAAATAAGCCATACTTGTATAATCTATTCTGGTAAAATTGTCTCTTATTTTTATCAAATTATGTCAGTTGTTGTAAACTGTTTAATTTTTTTTTATGTTTTTGCTTCCTTTGTAAAAAAAAAAATAAAAAAAGCTAAAAAAAAAAAAAGCTATACAAACAAGAAAAAATGTATATATGTGACTGACAACTTGTTAACAGTGTAAATGCCACAGGTATATCTATAATTTGCCAACTGATAGCTCTCACATGCCATCAACCTGCTAGAATATAAATGTAATTTATATTCACTGTAATAGATGTCTCAGTCTGCTTGTGGCTTTGTGTTGATGCGTTCAACAGATATTTATTCTAGTCTATGTATTATGATGGGATCCCTGTGTGCTCATAAATAAAGTCTGTACAGAATCTGCATTAGTTTCACTGACATTTTATTTGTCTTGAGTCTCTCTCTTGATTTACACCAACCACTGAAAAAGATACAATTAATACATAGAATGGGGTAATTAATAATAAGACTCTCTGCTCTCTGGCACAAGAGGTCAGTACATTTAAAAATAAATGGAAAGTTGAGCTCAGAGACACTGAGAATGAAACGTGGAATGAAATGTAAACAAATGTCCATACACGTATCGTTACTCGTGCAAATGCTTGGAAAGATAAATAGAAAGTTATCAGCAGATAACAAAAAAGAATGATCAAAATAAGACTGAAGCTAAAACTATTTACATGTTTTTTGGTCACGTGTCAGGCTGATGAACTTTTGGACCAAAGTTTTTCTGTTTATAAATAACTTTTTAGGGATTTGTCTTCCCTTTCCAGTCCAAATCAGAATCAAGAGTAACCCCTGAATATTGTATGTTCATATTTGTTCAGTATTCGTTTTCTTAATTGACAGAAAATGTACAGTATAAATGCACATTTGGCTCAGTGAGGAGAATGGACAAGATGATTCAAAGAAGTATGTGAAATGGGAAAAAAAGAACATACAGTATGAACTGAAGTTAAAGTGAAAAACATGGCACCCACTGGTTATGATTAATGTCATCTTAGACCAATGAAATGTGAAACTGAAACAAATGTTATGTTGAGTCATAATGCAACTTAAAATGATTATTAATCCATCTACTCATTATAATTTATTTTTTTATTTCTTATTTTTTGTTTCTTCTGCAGCTACATTTATCAGTGATTTTTGCTAATTTAACAGAGAAATGAAGACAAAATAAAAATAACTCCTTGTACCTGATCCTGTGACCTGACCTGGTATCCCCAATTAAAACTAACCTCTAAACCAATTACCAGGCTGTACTTCCACAGTAGATTAGATGACACACCAGAACAGCCAGGATTACCAGGAGCGGTGTTTTTAGAGCGACAGGTTTCAACCAGAATAAATTACAGTAAACCAGCAGATATAAAACATGCCCTTGCAACAAGTCCAAACTGGAAGTTTAACATATAATCTGGATCAGAAGCTGGGAATCCTCACCAATGTTTTGAAATGTATGCTGCCTTAACCATATAGCATTTTACTGTAAGCCCTGGGTTTGTAAACCAGCCATTGCTGAACTGGAAAATGTACAGATAAATGTCAGCAATCACCAAAAATCCTCATGTGTGTCATTTCTTTTCCTCTTCTTTTTCTTTAAGCACTACATAGAAACCCAGTGTATACTTACCTTCTGTTGAAAGAGTTTTCACATCTACACACACCATAAACCCTCCTCACCCCCCCAACAACCACAACACGGTTGACTTGGTGAAGTGCAGTATTGAGACAGACTGTCCATTCAAGCAGAAGAAGCCAGAAATATGGGGCAAAGGTCTCCAAACAGTCTCAACCTTTTCCCAGCAGTGGTAAACATAAAAGCCCATAATCCAAACTGAGTTGCTCAAAGAGCAACATTATTGACCGTGTAATTAAAGTGATACCAGCAACGTTTGTGGAAACTCCGCGCTCCAAAACTGACTATGGGGTGAAAGTTTGGTCTCGGATTTAGTAACATTTCATCACGGCTGAGTAAAAGTTCAAAAGTCGATCAATAAACCACCAAAACTGCAATTGCACCATAAATTGTGTGGTAGGTTTTATTTTTTTTTAAGTGTGCACACCCTGGCTTTTTGCATATATTGCATGACATTTATAAGAAAAGACATGCGTATGTGTGTGATGTTCATATAAGCCTTGTACCTGCTAATATTAATGCAAATATGTTGATGTTAGCAGGTATAAGGCTTATCGTATTTACCTTTTTTAATTTGCTAATTAGCACCAAACACAAAGTACAGCTGAGGCTGATGGGAAAAACTCAACCAACAGACCAACTGACATGGCCACACCACTAAATATCACATGTTGGGTGGATTATTATGTTATGGCGTCCTTCATCTGGCGTGCAGATGTTCCACCAACATGCAGGCGTCTCGTGACGTTGGCCAGATGTCATTCTCACTGACGACACATGTCTCTCTGTGAAAAGGTCAGACACATTTCACAACTCACTCCCTCCTCTCCTGCAGTGAGTGGACGAGGTCAAAGGGCACAGAGTTTCAGACACACACAGACACACACACACACACACACACACACACACACATTAACCCCTGCAATCTCTCACTGCTTCATTGTCAGGTCCGCAGTCAGACAGTGGACATGAGCCAGAGCAGCTCAGGACTGCATGATTAGGGGGAACCTTTTCTTCTACTGAACCTTATCTCTTGGTGTTCGATAAGGGGTATTCCATATGTCACTGTACAGTTGTCAAACAATGCCTTCCAGCCAATCAATGGGACTGGCTTTCCACAGTTTCATGTACTGTGATTGGACACTATTCAAGCTCTCCTGATGAGGATCAATGTTTATGGTAACAAGCCACGCAACATGAACCAACCACTCCTGTTGTTCAGTGCTCAGTAACATATGTGTAGTATTGGAATGACATAATTTATCCTCACTCTAAGTAAACACGCTGAAGCATTACAGTGCTTCTGCTGCACAACACATACAGACCTCATGTGATGTCACATGCACAGTTTCACCTCCAGGGAATATTTGCTTCACTTCTTGTCCCAGAAACCCATGCCCTTTTACCCAAACAGGCCCTAATCTCCAAAGAGCAACTAGCCTCATGAATATGCATGTTATCACCACTGTGGGAGTTGACCAGGCTCCACTTGTGTTTAAATGGCAGGATCTGCTCTCATCTCCCTGCCTGCGAATGCCTCACTGGGCCGAACACTGAGAAGAAGTCAGAGTTTGGGGTGTTCTTCAAAGTGAGTATTTACCCATCAGCATGTGTATAGTAGAAAGACTGATTCCAGTTTATGTGCGTGGACAATTTTCTCTAACAAAAAAAATTCTGTGTATGATTTCTCCTTTTCCTACAGACTAATCAAAAAACACACTATGGAAACCATTAGCGAGATCATCCCATTCGCTAAGGAGATGCTAAACCAGAGGCCCAGCCGGAGCATGCTGAAGATCTACATGCTCGGCTCCACTCTGGCGATGCTTGGAGTGGTTGGTGGACTGGTGGAAACAGTTCTCCTGCCATTTGTGGAGCAGGAGACCGTTGAGGACACACCAACAGAGCAGATCACGGAGAAGAAGAAGGAGAAGAAGCAGGTGTTGAAGTCACACACTACCTTGGTTCGTCCTGAAGTTGTGGACGTGCTGGAGACGGTAGTGATCGAGGCCAAGGCCAAACATCTGGTGACCGCTGAGAGGAGAAGCTCAACCAACCGCTTATATGCTTCTTAAAGAAACCATTCCCCTCCTGATGTAAATGGACACGAAACTCACAATGTTGATGATAATGGTGGTACATTAAATCACCATATTGAAGTGGTCACTTTGTGCTCAGTCTTTTATTTCAGATGGCAAAAAATGAGATGTGTTGATACACTGCGGGGTACAGTAATGTCTGGCTGCTGGGCAGCAGATACTTGTGGATGTGACTTGATGAATGTGTTAGGAAAAAAAGGAATGCGTGTGATTTGATTCATTTTGCACTATAATAAAGCAATTTTTTTCAGCTGGAAACTGATTCAGGTCATGATTTTACAGTAATACAGCAGCATTTGTACATTTTGCAAGAAGACGTTACTCAAATAGATGCATTTATAATGACATTAATCTGTAAATTAAGAGAATATTATGTGTTAGGGGCCATTTAACGTTTGTGTGAAAAATTCATGCTTAGTACACTAATGTCGCCACTTGTTTCCCATATACGTTACTAATAAGAGGAAAGGCATCCACACATTCAGATATCCATTTGTTGCTTTTCCTCTCATTGTATGGTGTATCCTATATTGTCGGCATTGGGTATACCCACTTCTAAATCCCCTCTGATGCACATCATTCACTATTGTTCTGGGAGTTTTTATGGCGAAGGCATGACATAGATATTCACGAGTAAATGGAGCAAGAAATAAGGAATAATATTTCACTCAAAATGCTTAATTATGTAGTTGTCTCACCCTATAGTCTGTGAGCCAGTATTATGTCTAATCTAACTCTAATTAGTAGTTAATCTCATAATGATCTATACTCACAGAAGTCAAGCAGCAGAAGTTAAGTGGCATACTACTGAGCCAAGTTTTGGGTGAACGAAATATGCACGAGTAGTCTTACATATTACAGAATATAACACAGGAGAAATATGATATAATAAATATATAAAATAATAAACATTTGGGGCATTAATTAGTATACCCACTTCTACAGGAACCACTACACCACTGAGCATCTTTTTTTTTTTCCTTTTAACTTTTAAAGTCATCTTTATTGTAAAAACAGGTTTACAATTCAGACTTGACTCACAGAAATATACATATGCAACAGTAACCGAACATACAAAACACAAACAAAGAGAAACAACGTCTCTCCAGGGGAGGCCCACATGCTATTAAAAAGAGAAAGATGACCATATGTTGACAGTTTTAACCACCTTGTTGTTGTTCAGACAATCAAATTCATATAATGTGCAACTTCATGGAGAAAAGATACAAAATACACATTCTCCCATAATAAATCTTTATAAATATGGTCAATGACAAATCTGCTGAAGTTTTGCCAAAATGTTCTGGTGTGTAAGCAATACCAAAAGAGGTGCAAAACAGTCTCTGGGGTGGTCGCCACTGAGCATTAGTGATGGGTCGGTCGCGAACGATCCGGCTCTAAGAGCACTCTTTGAAGTGAACGACGGGAGCCGGCTCCTGATTGGGAGCCAGATCCGGATTTTTTTTCCGGATTTCCACGTTTTTTCCTGTTAAAGCTGCGTGATTGGTCAAGATGTGTGGCGGCATCTGTGTATCTACACTGAGCAGGAGGGGGGAGGGAGGGGTTACAGACACACACGGCACAGTAAGCACGTGAACAGGTGGGAGGGAGACGTGAAAGCGAGAGACCTTGGCGCTACATAGACGGAGACTACACACTGGAAAGGGTGAGGAAAATGAGTGACAGGAAACGTAGTAAAGTTTGGACACATTTTAATGTGATAGTTCAAAGGCAGAGTGGCACTGTGCAAAGTTAAACATTTCATATCAAGCAGCTTTTTGTCTAATTAAGATGGGTCTTTATTTTTGTGTTTTATAATTTATTTTTGTAGCACTCTGTTCCATGTTGAGTATATTAATAAATCCATATAAATACTAAACATTTTGTGTATTCATTTGACACATAATTTGGTAATAAATTAATTTAAGCAACAAAAAAAACATGAGGAGCCACTTGGGAGCCGAAAGAGCCGGCTCTTTTTAGTGAGCCGAGCCAAAGGAGCCGGTTCTCTAAAAAAAGAGCCGGAATTCCCATCACTACTACTGAGCATCTCCCCTCATGTGACACGTTGAAAATGAAGCCGGTGTAATTACACACGCAACCGCTGGAGGGCGGAGGTAAACACAGCGCGGGTTAAAACTTCAACATCCGTCCGAGCGGCGGAAGCGACGACACAAATTCCGCACCGTGTTTACTAACGGCGGCCAAAAACGGTCGTCTGACAAATATATTAAAAAAAAAAAAAACAGAGTTAAACAAAGCTTAATCCAACGAGTGGAGGGCAGATAATAACAGATGGCGGATCCCGCGGTGGCGTCGGGAGGCTCTCTGAACGCGGGAGGGGTAAGAGGAGCTTCTTCTACCCGGCCGTGAGGAGCGGGATGTACCCGGGTTTAAGCTAGTCTGTAGGGAGAGACCCGTCCGGGCTGAACGCCTCTCAACCACCGACAGTGTATAATTATGTTTATATTTATGTTTATATTTATATTTAAGGTCTCAAAGAGGATTTATAACTTCAAACCTACTCTTAAATCCAGTATGAACGCGCTGTACTTCGGCTCAGACTGTAAGGTTAGCTCGCTGTTTATGTTGTTAATCCGCCAGTGGAGGTACTATTTTTATTTATTATATATTTTCTGTCATGATAATAACTTTATTTGTGATGCGTGTATCTAAACAAGGTTACAGAGATAAAATAAGGTAGATACAATAAAGGTAAAATGTGAGAATGAAAGAAACTAAATCCAAAATCACAACAACAAAAAAAAAACACTTTAAAAATGAAGTTTTAATTAATTCTTTGTATTTGTTATCCTACAAGCCTGTTACAGCATACACTGATGATTCTGTATTAGCCTCTGTTGTTATATTTTGAATTAATTATGCTTGTTTTTATCCTTTCACGCTTTGAATGAGCCAGTTTCTGACATTTTTTTCTCCCTATGAATCTTCTCTCACCTCCTCCCATCTGTTACTTTACAGCGTGGAAGTGGTGGTAAAGCAGCCTCCAGCCCTGCAGAGAACTACTACCTGGCCCGACGACGCACCCTGCAGGTGGTGGTCAGTGCCCTGCTGACCGAGTGTGGCTTCGAGAGCGCGGAGAAGGCAGCGGTGGAGACACTCACTGAGATGATGCAGAGCTGTACGTATGAATCCTAAAGGAGAGCCTCCATCCACCGAGGATGTGCCCATCTTCATGTTCCTCTTCCTTTTTAGGGTACCGTGCTTTATTCAGTGTTTTCGACTAACTTGTCTTCATTAGGATGATGTCTAAGATGATGATCTTGTGTAAGTTGTGTTTGTGGTATGGTGTGGAAACAGGAGGCAGCTTCAGACTCAACCCTGATGAAGGCAAGATAGCTGGAAACATTTGGCACAATACACAAATGCGTAGATGAAGCACTGGAGGAGTCGTGGGATGGGTTTTTAATTTTGATGGACTTGCATTGAAGCTCACTCCGGTCTAACTGTCTGTGTGTGAGTTCTCAACGTTAGAAAATGTCTTTCTGTTGGCCAACATTTAGAGGATTGTGGATCAAAAGAATCATTTAAATCTCGCAGTCTTCATTCATTGTGATGGGTTGCAGGTGTTTAGCATCATGTCGGCAGACGGATGAAGATGTGGTCCGACCATCGTTATTATTGCTTCTATTGAGTTGTATATGGATGCCCGGAGCCTTGTCGAATCAGTGTGAGCCCCAATACGGAGTACTGGTCAGACGTGACAGATCTATATTAAATATAGCTTAGTCGCTGCGAGTGACCAAATCTTCAAGTGTTAAGTTACAGCAGATACCTGCATGTGCTTTTGTCAGGTATTGCATCATTATACACTTTCTGCACTTCTGTATTTTGTCTCTTGTTAAGATAAAATACAGAGCCACACATGGTGCTATAAAGAGAGCACTGGTACCGGGAATTGGTACTGGGAAAGAAGTAGGATTGGTGTCCTTGTATTATTTTTATGTGTGTTGATACAAAAAAGTTGCATTTGTTGATGATTCCTACAAACAGAAAACTCCTCTTTTATGACCCGTCCATTCATAATATCTGCAAATGATTTAGTTCATAAGCAGAAGCTTTTCTAAACCACACGTTGTCTCTTTTTCAGATATAAGTGAAATAGGTCGGTGTGCTAAAGCTTATTGTGAACACACAGCGAGAAGCGTCCCGACCCTGTCGGATACAGTTGTCACACTCATTGAAATGGGTAAGTACTGGAGGAAACCAACACACGAGTTATATATCTCTAACACAAGGTAATAAAGAGGAGATTATTCACTGTGTTTGTTTCACTGCAGGTTTCAATACCGACACCCTGCCTGTTTACGCCAAGAGATCGCAGAGGATGGTTATAACTGCTCGTAAGTGTGCACTCTGCCATCCATTGATTAATAATGTTGATAATCTCACTTTCTACATTAACTCTAATAACAATAATAATAAGATAAAATGAAACGTTGCCTTCATGACGTAGCTGTGAACTTAATTTGATTTCTTTTTGTTTGTATTTTCTGACATTCAGCTCCAGTGACGAATGCACCTGTGACCCCCAAAGCACTGTCAGCAGGACAGAAACGCACACATCCGGCTCACATCCCCAGCCACTTCCCAGAGTTCCCTGACCCTCACACCTACATCAAAACACCTGTGAGTCCGGTTTTTTGGGGGGTTGTTATCAAGATCCTTAAACAAACCCTGACATAACATCATCTTCTTTTTATATGATGATAAGATACAATCCATTGTGTATCGTGTGGAATCTTTTTAGTTTTCCCTGCTGGAATCAACTAGCAAGGTGGTGTAACAGATGAAGTGAAGTGTGTTTTCCTTTCTGCTCGCAGACGTTCAGAGAGCCTGTGTCGGACTACCAAGTGGTGAGAGAGAAGGCAGCAAGTCAGAGGAGAGACGTGGAGCGAGCGCTCACACGCTTCATGGCTAAGACCGGAGAAACTCAGAGCCTCTTCAAAGACGACATCACCGCCTTCCCTTGTGAGTAAATCCACAAAGCGGACCTGTATTTCAAAACATCAGTTGTAATATGTCTCATACACATTCAAGTGTGTCTTTGTTTTTTTTGTGTCCATTTATACCTGTGTGTCTGTACTGAAAGCATGTTGTATTTGCACACGTTCGAATCCCTGTGATTGTGTTGTTAGTGATCGCAGCACAACCAAGCACCATCCCATATCTGAGCGCCCTCCTGCCATCAGAGCTGGAGTTACAGACTCTGGAGGAGACAGACTCCTCTGAGCAGGACGACCAGACAGACAGCGAGAACGCAGCAGGAAACATCATCAATGTAAGTCTTCACTATTGCTCTCTCTTTAAGTTCCCAGATTTTAATATTATTACTCACTGGGAATATACCAGTTTCCCTTGGTTTCCTGGATTTTCTTGACATAATTCAACTGTCAAATATTCACATTTTCTGATGTAATTCTTTTACATACATTATGTGTTTAGAGACACAAAAAAAAAAAAAGCACACTGCTGTCCTTTGTTTTGAACATATTCTCTCCAGTTTTATTCATGTGTGAGTGGTTACAGAGGAGTGTATGACCATCTTAGTGGCGACCCGAGGTTAGTACTTGTTGTGAGTGGCGGAGACATAATATCCCTCACAGATTAGCAGAAGCCACGGCAGCTTGAAAGGCTGATCCAGTTTTATTACCGTAATAACAGCATTTCAAGGTTTGAATTTAGTATTTAGTATTCTAGGACAGTTTGTAGCATCAATGAGGTCTGGAGAAGGCCTCTTTGTTCCAGTACATGTGATTATCTTCAGTAGAGGAAGACACGGATGTACACAGATGCATAAATGTTTTAAAAATCCCATGTGCCTGTGGGTAATTTTCCACGGACCAGGGGGCAGGAAAATTCCCAGAAAATCCTGCGTTCCAAATTCCTGGCACTCGACCCTACTGTAGATATTCATAATAGAGCTTTTGTATATTCTACATGAAATCTTCCAAATCTAAACTAAGTAGTGCTTCTAGAGGCCCTGCATTAAAGGGAATGGGGAAGGTTTGACACTGACTGTTTACTGGTAAGTAAATCTGAGTATAAGGAATCCAATTTACCTTTACAGAAACTATTTCAGAGTGAACAAGGTCAAAGGCTGAATTTAAATTTAAAGCAAGGGTTAGCTGAAAAGATTAATCCCACTTCATTGGGATACTACTTTACAGGAGATTTTAGCTCAGTTTAGCATAGAGAGAGGAAACAGCTGGCCAGGCTCTGTCCAAAGTAAATAAAATAAGGTTATCTGCACCTCCGAAGGTAGATAATGAATTGCCTGCTGGCTCTAGCTCTATACTAAACATACAGATGGGAGTAGTATCAATCTTCTTGGCAAGAATGCAAAAAAGCTTTTCCCCAAAATGTCAAACTATTCCTTTAAATGTGATGCACGAGTACGGTAGAGTGTACTACAATGACTGCTCACTTCCATCTTCTCATTCAGGATGATCCAGGAGCTGACAAAGAGAACTCCATGCTTCCTCCCAGCGGCGGCGTTCCCTCCACAAAGGCCACTGAGGACAACGTGATCGACAACCCGTACCTTCGGCCGGTCAAGAAACCCAAAGTGAGGAGGAAGAAATGAGTTGGGACCCACCCGAACCAACAGACTCACATTTGCCACAATGGTTGGCGCCTTCAGCAGTCCAGTCAGTGATTCCCTCGACGGAGAAAGAAGCAGTCCGGATTTGAAACCTGCGGTGTGAGCCGGGACCAACGGCTGACCGTACTGCTGTTGGTCTTTTTTTGTATACTGACTTCTATTGAACTTTGTCGTGTGTCCCTTTTTTCAGCAAGCACTAATTTTCTTTAAAATTTGTGTAATGTCACTTTGTAATGTCATCGTTTAACATGCAAACCACACAGGAATCCTGTCATTTTGTGAATAAAGAAATACAAGTTTCTTTTTTTCGTTTTTAAAACTCAGAGAACTTTTGTTGACAGTTTCAGTCCAGTAAAATGTGTTGATTGTAAAAAGGAAAACAATATAATACACCGTCTTATGTTAGTGTCATGAGAGGTTTTCATCCATCAGTTTTAGAGTTAATAATACAAACTCAGGTAGGCCACTCTGCTCCTGTGCTTCAGGAACTCCTTCTCACTGTTCAGCTGAAGAAAACAAAACAAAAGGGCATTAGCTGTTGCTCCATATAACAATGTATCCCACCAAACTGAATTCTTATGAGAAACTTTAAAAAAAAAAAAAACAGGATTTAGGATGATTCAGCACTAACAACTCTCAAAACACCTTTTTTTTTTATCTGCACATCAAACTCTTCAGTGGGAAATGCACTTTTTGCTTTCTTGCCAAGAGTTAGACTAGAAGATTGACACCCATCTCTTTTTTGTGTATAAAGAGCTCTTATATCTCCAGACAGCCAGATATAAAACTTTCTTTTATACTTTTGTCAAAAGTTTAAAAAAATATATACCAGAAACTCTCAAATGGGCTTGAGACTGAAAACTAATCCAGTGAAACCACACCAGTACCATTTCACTAAAGATTTTGTAAGGATTAAACAAGATATGTTTTAATCAGTGAGCTTTCCTGTCTTTATGTTAAGCTAAGCAGCTTCATATTTAACAGACAGATAAGACAGTGGTGTCAATCTCCTCATCTAGATCTCAGTAAGACAGCAAAGAAGTCTATTTCCTAAAATGTTGAATATTCCTATAAAAAGTCGAGTGTACAACGCTGCCGCAAAAATGCAATGTAATGTTCATAGGTATGTTTTCATAGTCTTAAATAAGCCGTTATCCACAGAGGGAGTGGGTCTTCTTCCACAGTCCGCCGTGTTTCTACAGTAGCCCAGAACAGACAAACCAAACACTGGCTCTAGCCTTCTAGGCCTTTCATATCCACCAAAGTTTCTCTGCACTTGGTTGAGTCAAGGGGGTTTCAGTTTGTTCTAATCTGCAATATCACCGCTACACGTTGGTCCTTTAAGGTTTTTACTCCAAAATGTAAAACAAACTAAAAAATACTGGTTCCATGACTTGATCAGAAAGTATCTTAATGTTGGTATCCAAAGTGTTTTTCTATCTTAACTGAAATTTGAGCTGATTTAATCTGGGTTTCTTAAATGACCTGGAGGATGGAGGATTAAATTTCAGATTGTAACTAACTGAATATTTGCTCCTGCATAGGAGCTGCACAACTCTATCCTGAGCCAGCGTTTGGTGTGTCTGTTCTAGGCTACTGTAGAAATATAGTGGTTCGACATAGCGACCACCATAGAGGACCTGTGTGTCCCTCTGTAGATAAAAACAGCTCATTCTAAGGTAACAAAAACACAACAATTATTACATTCAGGTGATTTAACACTAATGAAAACATACCTATGAATATTATATTCCATTTCTGCCTCCTAAATGTTACACACTGCACTCTCCAATCACAGAACGGGACCTGCTTCACCCACCTTCACCCTGAGTGACTTCTTCTGCAGCTGAGGCAGTTTGGACCAGTCTGGGTTCCCAAAGCACATCGGCCAGCTCACTTTCCTGTTTGTCACTGCGTCAAGAGCGTAGGTCCCAGGGCTGTAACACAAAATGAACATCTGTGAGCTCAGTTCAGCCCTGTTACATTAGAGTGTGTGTGTGTGTGTGTGGTGTGTGTGTGTGTGTGTGTGTGTGTGTGTGTCTGACGTGTCGCTGTCTCACCCTGGACTGTGCTCGGCTGTACAGGACATGCTTTGGAGCCTCGGCTGGGTTGAGTTGAACGGTGTTTTGCTGGGAGGGGGGACTCTGGACTGGCTTTGATCCTGCTGGTATTGCTGGGGGGAAGGGGTCGCCTTCTGGTGGTGAATTGTGAAAAAAGAAAACTAACTGTGAAAAACATGTATCCAAATTTGGTGATTCTGAATTTGACTTTATGTATTGAGAAAACTCTACTTCTTAAGATAAATTAAGTTTTGGATTCGCTGGAAAATGTAACAAAAGCTGGACCCAAGATCAGGAAAAGTCGATTTTCTCACAGGACAGTGACGCTACAAACATGATGAGCTTATATTTGATGCATTTCTGTAGATTAAACTACCCAACAGTATAACGTTGAGGTATAAAGTAGTTCAAATTTGCCCAACCTTAAAGATCTACAGCAGCAAACACAGCATACTAATATTAATCCTACACAGTAAAACACTGACAGGGAACGTTTAACTGAATCACTACTTTAACTTTTGATACTTTTAAGCACATTTTGCTGATAATATTCATAGTTCATATAAAATCAGTAGAGTGCCTCTTTAAACTAACATTAATTGCAGTGTCTGGGCCTAGTTACTCAGAAGATTCAATGTATAACTCTTTTCAAAAGTAATATCATGACTTTACTTATTACTCCCTGCCAACAGTAATTAGTTACACTACTAGTAATATTACTTTTCTGCTATAATTGTGACCCGTCTTCCCAAAAATGCAGTTTTGTTTGCTAAAATCAAAGTAATAGAAGTGTTTCCATCTTCCAAGCCAGAAAATGAATCATGGGATGTGATTGGATTTTAAATTAGTAGGGGGGAGACATCAAAAGTAATGTAACTAATATTTTTAACTGTAATATTAATACTGAATCGTATTAGTGACACTACTAGTTAGTGGGGAAAGTAATATTACTAGTAATGAGTTACTGCCCAACACTGACTAAACATGCTGTCAGTGTTAGAGTGAATAGTGCAGGTAGCTCCTTTGGTCTCATGCACCTTGCCACAGGGGGGGAACCGTGCTGCAGTCCTGGCAGAGAGACCATATCCTTTCTTACTCTCTGGTTTCCTGTGACACTCAGTTTGTATGGAGCCGAACTGGGAAAGCAAAACGTCAAGAATCAGGCCTCTTGTCATAAAATAAAGCAAAAACAAGAGCATCACAGATTAAACGAGGACATTTATTGTGCTGCAACCTTGAGCAGATATTAAAGAGACGAACCTCTTGGTTGTCATAGCAGCCAGGGCCGAGATGTGGCGCCTCCTCTCGTGACATTTTGTTTCCCAGCCGGTCTGGTGCGTAATAGAGAGGAAGCAGTCTCCTCTCCTGAGTGCTGCCAAATATTACTCTCTGAACGGGAGCCGCTGACATCTTGGAAACAACTCGCTGGGCCACGCCAGTGACGGAGAGCGAAGGGAAAAGAAGAGTTACGCTGTGTGCGCACACACACATACACACACATACACACACACGCAGGTTCGCCTCTAACCGGCCATGACGTGGTGGTGTTTTGACTTCCTGTAACCATGGCAACCGACTTGGCATATCAATTATGCAAAATCGCTGGGCAGGTCCTTGTCACGTGTGAAAGATGACACTTAAAAACAACACAGATCGATCACAAATTTATAGATCACTTTATTTTCAATTAAAAGGCAATGTACATGTCATGGTGATTGCACATCAATAAGTCTGACCAAAGCAGATCTGAGGCACTGACATTTCAATTTGTTGATGAACCTGAAGCAAGAGGTAAACTTTTAAAAGGTATGTTTAGTAGCGGAGACTGTTTTTATATAAATAAATTACTTGTCAGATACGTTTCCTTTTTTTTTTTTTTTTACAGATTGAATGGCACTTGTGTGTGTGTGTGTGTGTGTTGGATTTGTCTGTGACGAGCGAGAACAGAACTAAGTCCAACGTAAAGTATAAGCAATACTTAGACAGTTCCAAAACCATTTCAGGACACAGTCACAAAGCAATCTAGTCTCTATATACAGGCACTTCTTTCATAACCAGTAGTCTTTAAATTACAGTTGGAAAAACAAAAAAGGAAGAACTGAGGTCTGAAACGGTCCTACAGCATCCAGCAATCACATTCATGTTGGCACAGAAGGCATTCTCTGGTAAAAGAAATGATTGTGAATTATTTTAGGGGAAAATATCCACTGTGTCTGGCCAACAGTGGCACCAAAACGTCTTTTTAGCACATGCACTCAGCTCGTATAAAAGGTGCATCCATTTTGGCACTTGTAGCTATGGAGAGATGAAATGAAATGAGCCTTGGAAGGGACCATTATCCTAAAGACAGCTGTGGAAGGACTCCAGAGAGAAAACTACAGGAGAGGATATCAGAGAGAAAGTCAATCTGCCGGACAAATAACTTCAAAGAAAAAAGGCCCAAACGTACAAAAGCTACTTGACAAGGGGGGGACGGGGGAGACACAATCTACTAGGAGGCACTGAAGGACTGAGGAGTGTGTGTGCGTTTTGGAGTGCTTCAATCCGACTGAGGCACTGAAATCGACGGACCTTTGGGGTCGTCGAATCGATCCATGGTGTTTAGCCGCATGATCATGTGCAGACCGTACACAAAAATGTACAGCATAAGCAGTGAGGTCAGCAGCCCCATCCAAATCCCCGGGGTGAAGAAGCCTGCACAGTCACTGGCGTAGGAGAAATTTGTCCCGTTGGCCAAACCGAAGCCCTGAATCTGTAGAGTAAAAATGCATAAAAACACTCAATGAACAACAGAGGGACTAAACTGACACCTGATTATTAGAAAACACTCTCAATTTTAAGAAGTATTCGCACTGCTGCAGGAGTATTGAATGGCAGGGTGTGCATGCGGCACTACAGTTGTACCTGGAAGTCGATAAAATTGAGCCTCCACTGCGAGGTGTTTTGGTTGGTGTTGTTTGGCACTAGCAGAGTGTCTTGGAAGCTGCTGACGGACTGGCAGTGGAAGGAGTACTCTGCAGGGGCGTAAATGCCCCGGCTCCCAATGAAAGTTGCAGTTAGACCGCTAGACTGCAGCTGAACGGAGTCCAGGGTGAACCAGTTCCGTGCAGACACAGGATATAACCGTTGGCTCATGAAAAAACTGCAGATCAACAGAAGAGTTTTTGTTTCTGAGTATCTTAAAGACAAGACGTCAATGTGAAAAGAGTAGAATTCATAGCTAGAACTGTGATACATTGTTACTATTGTTATTAATTAGTTTATGGCATAACTGAACATTTAGAGAAGAAAAAAAAGGTCTAAAAGTGAATTATGCTGAAGAATATGAAGAACACAGTTATGCAGGGCCTGAGACAGATATTTAGGATTTTCAAGTTTAAAGATGAAAGAAAATGATGAAACAGATTAGCTACGTTTTTGAGTGTTAAACATTTAAGAAACTAATATCTGGAGATGATTCTTTACTCACAAATATTGAATATAAGCTGAGTTTTCTGGGGCTTTAAACTCTACTCTTATATCTGTCCCTTGAATGTAGAGCCACATTCAGGAGTTGATTAGCTTATCTTAGCATAAAGATAAAGATCTCTAAATCTTAAACTCTGAAACTCAGTTCATGTTCTATCTTGTTTGTTTTTCATTTTAATTAAATTGAGCACTTTTTAGCACAATTCAATACTACATACAAACAGTCTTTTGTATTGTTTTCAGCAATGTCTTTAGACAGAAATCTCTGAATTTCCTTTACACAGACTCTGTGTTTTTTCATTACAAACACACACATTAGTGGATAGACATCACATGTCTACAGCCTGAGCCACTGCCGCTCTAGCAGTACAATAAACAAAGTGTAAAAATGACAGTTTGTGGTTTTATGAGGGGTTATATATATACTGTCAATGATTATGGGTAGGACTACTTCTTGGGCAGGTGCAGTAACTTCCTGGAGTCTCCACAAGACGCCTGCAGAAGTCACTGCACCTGGCCAAGAAACAAGGTTTTTACACTTTTGTTTTTGTATAGATTAAACAAAATATAACGTGTTATTGAGAGAGCTTTGGAGGAGATTCTGTTACCTTCAGACAGAGATGGGATAATGGTTTTGTAGTCTTTGTGCTAAGCTGAGCTAAGTGGCTTCTGGTTGTAGCAACAAACTTAATGGATAGATATAAGAGAGGTATTGATCTTCTTATTAAACTCTTGATAGGATAGAAAGTAAGCAAATTTCCCCAAATGTATTAACAATTCCTTTAAGTGAGCAATGTATTACCTTACCTTAGTACAAAGCCTGATTCATAACTGAGGACAAGCCTAAAGTGAGAGAAGAAGAATACATTTGAAATGACTTCCTTTAAATAACACAAAGTTATCTTGTCAACAAGCACAAAAAACGCTCATTCGCTGGCCGTCTCACCGTGAGTTAGTGGTATTACAGACGGATCCTGTCAGGGAAGGTGTTTGTGCAGCAAGGTCAATCCACGCTAAAGTGCTTGAGAGGCTGACGTTGAGATTCAGAGCCCAAAGCATTATGCAAGGGCCACCGGTTCCGTTAAACATGATGGGTGGTTTGACATTGGGTACAACTGCTTGGAGCAAGGACCGCCCCACAGCCTGGTTAGACATAGATGTCTCTGAAATCACCTGTATAGAGATAAATAATCAAAATTAACATTGTAACGTCTTCATATGACATATGTGTTTGACTTTTTATGTTGTATGACGTTGGGTAAGTATAGAGGTGATTACAAAACATATATACTATAATTCTTGTACGTGACATGGCAACTTTTGTGTGTAGTAGTTAGAATATCTTACTCGTGACGGCTGAAGTCCTGTGTACATCGCAGTGTATGGGACATTTTTGGCTTTCATGATACTCAGAACTTTCCCAATAATCTCATCTGTGGAAAGCAAAATACACTTGTATTGGTACATGATTATAACTATGCTTTAACAAAAATGCTGAATTCCTTAAGAGTAAAAACTTACCATTGTCACGTAGGACTTCCTTGCAAGACTTGTGCAAGCTACAAAACAGTAAAAATGTTAATTTACACCCTGTTAAAAATAGAATACTTCTATTCACAAGACACAACACAAGTCTTACTCTGTACAGTATGGAAGATTGATGAGCAGTAGATTGCTGACAGATGTGTTGATGCTGAGATGTGACAGAGTGTCTGCATCTACAAGCAGAGGCGAGACACCAAGCTTCTCTTGCAGCAGAGCCGGGATGGCAGAGGAGCCCGACCACTCTAATCCAGGAAGCGTCACTGATGAGGAAGACTGCAGGGCAGCCTGAAGAGGAGTGGGTGGAAAGAATTATTAGCATTATTAGTCTGACAAAATCATCTTAATTTAGGACTCCCGTGTAAGTTTTAAAAACCTACCTCCAGGTTTTGAAAGGCACTATCCTGCTTGTTTCCAAAGACTCCACCAAAGACTGTGAAGTCATCTTTGCTTAACTGAACACAAGTAAGGAGAATAAAATATCACAATTAACCTACATGAGCAGAGAAGTGGACACATATTTGCATCTTAATACAATGAAAACATCAATTAGGCTCATTAATCAGTCACAACAATGCCCAGCCACAACAGAGAACAGACTCAGATGGTGTGTTACAGAGGACCTGTGAAAGGAGAAGTAATGCCAAAGCTCATTGTCACACCAGAATGAGAAGACTGTGTCACATGGGACTGCAGTGCAACTACACATGACTCATTACTACCTTGTTTTACACCACTTACATATTCAAGGACAAGCTTTCAAATAAATGTTGAGAAATCTGTGAAAATCTTAAGACTGCACAAGCTGAGTCCTTTTCCTCAACACAACCCTAAGCTCTGATTTGTTTAGTGACAGACTGTAATCGTGTTTACAGCAGAGTAGGACTGTAGTTTTTATGTCTCAGAGACTGACCTTGTCCTGTAGAAACAGCAGCACAGTGTGGGGGCCGGAGCCGAAGGCAGAGGTGAGGTAGGCGGTCAACTGGTCATTGGACGTGATGTGACCAGCCGCAGGTGAGGCCAGTGGTGGTAAACTACACATGCAGGAAAGATTAAGAATTAAAGATTAAATTGTGATAGCTAATACAATTCTGAATTGCTTTAACGTAATTGTTATTGCAATAATAGGAACATTAAGTACAAACATATCAGTTTATGCTGCTGTCACTCACTCATGTATTAAAGATAAATACAGAAAAAGAAAGAAAAAGTGAATTCCTGTTTAAGCCAAGACAGTCAAACATCAATAAAACCGTCTCAATATAACTAAAAACACTGAAACTGTGTTTTTGTATTCCAGTTCCTATTCATACTTGGTTACAGTAATGGTGAGTTAAAATGACCTCTACAGCCATCTGAATTATCATACATCAAAACCTTTGTTTAAAATACAAAAAGCCACATGTTCAAGGCTATTTCACAACCTACATTTCAACACACTAAAACATTTTGTCATAGTGAAACTCTCAACTCAAGTTGTGGTGTGCCCACAGATTATCCAACCTCTGACCAAACCACCTCATACAGTAACACAGG